CCTTTCGGCATTACGCTGAGACATCATTTGTCATAACTGCGATTCCTCATTGGAGAAGAAATTGATTATTCTCTTTGTTCAATAACATAATTCTGCATTACTTTGCAGAAGAACTATTAAGAAATTATATAGATGATTCTGAATTTTTTTATTTCCAAAAGAGAATAATTTTATCCGGAAAGAAATTAGTATGACATAATATTTTCCTAATTATCGGTTACGAAATGCATTTCAAGATATTGCAAACTAATCATAAGCTTTTAAATCATTACACTAGATAGAGAAATATCGAACAACTAATGGAAACTAGGCGGCATTCAACAAAGAAAATTGATTTTTACACGCCATGATTTCCTTCTATCCAGAAAACGATTAGTTGCTTTCATAGTCTGGCAAAGAATAATCTATATGTAATGCCGATAAGACAGGCAACATATCCTCCTTGTTTGAGCGCGAAACAATAGATCTTCTTTTGAGCAAGAAAGTGACGCAAGTGGTGACTATAAAGCCTGTTTTATTAGAAGTGCTTACTTTCATATCAATTGCTTGATGCGTAGAATAATGCTTTTTTTAAATCTCTGATACCTGATACTTTTCTTCTCACATTATATCATTGCTGAATAAGCACCAATTAATAACATATCCTTACAAATAAAAACGGAAGACAATTTCTGGGTAAAATCTCGGAAGATTTGGAACAAGATTCAAAAACAAAAGCAGTTCGAAATCTGTCGGCAACAAATAGAGAATTCAATGATTGCAGAGCGTATATTTGAATTCAAATATTTTATCATTAAATGTACATAGTTAGCATTTTCGTATATTGGACCACCTTAAACTCTGGATAAAATAACTTTTGATTGATAACACAAAATCGAAGCTGCAAAGTTATGGTCAAAGGATCCTGGATCATACTCGGCGATCAGTTTATTTATATCATTCTGCACATAACTCTTACTTCTCTTATTTATTCAAATCATTTTATCTTCCGAACTGTTGAAGTAACAAATTACCCTCGCATATTTGAACCTACAGAATGCTTGTTACATATGATCAGATTTCGTACGTATCCAAAGTGTCAGCTTTGTGGAATCGAATTGTTAAAATTGAGAACACTTCTATTACATCTACGTAAGGAAATCCTTCCTCAGCAAGTCAGAACCAGAGTAGCCGATTATCGCCAGTTTTATTTTCGTGGTCTTGGTTTGAATCTTGAACCTAACTCGGCGTTTAGATTCCTTCCCCCTCCCCGAAAGTGCAGAAGGGCATTGATAAAGTTCTCGCTCCACCGGCTGCAAAGAGTTGTTTTTACCTCTCTCATCAGTTCACTTAGTGGCACTAGGCAACTGAAGAGACCCCAGTCCTCATTCCGTACCAATAGCCTTTTTTTTTTTTTTTTTTTTTTTTTTTAGTCTTAGGCAAAAACTCTTTAGTCTTATATCAGATATGGTTCAAATCTCCAGGAAAATAGAAAACTAACGTCATTAAAATAGAAGGAAAGTTCAATTATTTGTTTACCTTTGCTCAGGATAACAGACCTCAGTGAGCTTGTCTTCAAGTGCAACAACCTAATTAAAAGAACGCAGTCTTAAAGACCATACGAAAAGCATTTGAATAAATGGAGATAAATAAAAAAATCGAACTTCCATTCTAGTTTTAAACGCAAGATATTTCTTGTTTATTTTTCTAAATTTTCCTAAAGTATTTCATTCTAACTCCCATATATTACTTTAGCGAGCTGCGAAATGGTGTTCTTGAAAAGTTTGTGGAACGATTTTGTAATTTTTGGGACAGGATACGAGATAAAATTCTCAATTATCTCGCCAGGATTCGAACGCTGGAGCTTCCGACTGCTACTCGGATGTGCTTTCTAATTACACCGTTAAGGCACGCCGTAAAGAGGGAGAAAAAACTAACAAATTAATGAACAGCACACTGAATCATTTCTTCTAGCATCGCAAGAGCTATCACTTCAAGCTAGAGCCATCACGTCTAGCATCGCAAGTAATAGGGTATGAATTTACAATAACCAGAGAGTGCATTAGTGACAGAGAATTTATGAAAATGTGAGAAATTAGTCTGATACAAAAACTTAATAAAGAAAACGAGACAAGAGTTATTGACTATCCTATTTTCAATCGTCACTGGAAGAACACATCGCACAGATGGTTTAGTGGTTAGGGGAGCCTACTACGGTACCGAAGGGTCCCGGTTCGAATCCTGGAGAAGTTGTGGATGTTTGTGTCGGTGCGGCATGGAGGCACTCCAAATATGCGGCGAGACGAAAGTCCTCTCGTGTGGGATGGTGGGAGTGGAGAGGGGCGGGAGACCTCCGGTTCTTCCCTGGGTGCTCTTCCCCAAAATTGCGGGTGGAAAATAGAAGTCCAATCTCTCTTAGGAGTAGGCTTTGCCAAACATTGTTCCATGTAATATGGACACGACTACAACAACAACTGGAAGAACGTAAGACTTTGCTTGAGTTATTAAGCGTTTGTCATGTAATTTGACGTTTTAAATTTAAAAATGGCTGTCTGTTTACTTATCATACATTTCAGGTGCTATTAGCTCTTAATTTTCGCAGAGCTGATCCAGAAGATTTTCAAGAAGGAAAGTTTTTGTGCTTCAGCTAAAACAAACGATATATTATCTTGTAAGATTCTGTACTGTGTACTTTAAAGTTACAGTTGGATGTGAATAATATTAAGAACTGATAAGCGAATCATCGCTTGAGTTCGTAGTACAAGAAACAACAAGTAAGAAGGATGAAATAACCCTTCAATAAGTTGTAACAGAATCTTTGAGTTGTACAACAAAGCTGACACTCGGGCTTCAACTAAAGAAACTAGAACCAAAGAGACTAAGAACTAAACTAAATTAAAAAAATATAGCCGAAGCTATCAATCTTCTAACGGAGTTGGCCCCTTAACGCTAATAAATTGCGAAGCTATTAAGAGCCTAAAGTACGGCCGAGCGTAATAATAATAGCTTAAGAGAGAGCAGCCTAAAAAGGCGGGCGCGTGCTAGCCAGGATCACTGGTTCTCTCTAACTAAGACAGTAGAACTTCGCGGTTAAATACCTCTCCTCCTCAATTTGCATTCAAATGTGATTCTAAAACTACGTTCTGACCGGAAGTTGTAAGTTGAAATTCAGAAATGATAGGAAAGGAAGTTTAACTCAAAACTTAACTGTTAGATAAATTAATATAATACTTACAATCTGTTAATCGAATACCAAAGGTAGTTGTCAATTATAACGGCAGTGTTATTAAAATTGATGCTAAACTGCTTTCGTTGGTGTTTTGAATTAAAACGATGTAAACATAGCAACAGTATGTTACATAATTCACGAAACCTTGAGTAGAAAGTCCGTAAGACTAGATAACAAATTGATTAAAATGACTAATTCTTTCACCAAATACAAATATGATGAGAGGCAGGAGAAGCTTTCTTTTCTTTAAAATGCATTATAAGTTATTTCCTCCCTCCTTTCAGAATGCTTCTGTGGTGCAATTGGAAACCTACTCGATGTGTATTTGAGAGGTTCAGGTTCGAGTCCCGTCGAGGGTATTATCCATTTCTTACGTCTCCTGCTTCAAAAAGACCCAATGACTCTGCAACATATTTTATAATATAATCAACGGTGAATTTGAAACCTTTCTTAAATATCTAAAATGTTTAGATAAATATATTCATTTTACATTTTTTCCAGGCATGAGTAAAAAGAGTCATAATTCAAGACCAAATTACCCAATGAAGCTATGGTTTCATTAGCTAAAGCTGTAAAATGCTGCTACTTTCTTTTCAAGGCTGGATTTCTGAATTAATAGGACACCTACACAGGCCATTTAGCATTTTTCCCCTATATGTTATTCTCTGAAACTTCTCTTACGAAAACTAGGCATTATGTGCTTTACGTGGATTAAATAAAGGACTGTAAATCTAAGTTTTTAAGATGAATTATTATAGGTGACATAAACGGTGCAAAACTATTTTTATTTTAAAAAAACAACTCTGGCATCATTATAAAAAGCTAAAGTTAAAAAGAGCAAAATTGGACAAAACTCATGAAAATTTCGCACTATTTTAAAGTTTGGGATTAGAGATATTCAACTGAGAAAATTAGGATTAGATACCTTATTAACTGGGATTATAGTCCATATCTCAAAAGAGATTGAATTTTTCTCTCTCCTTTTGAAGTGAATATTATAATATGATCTTTGCTTCAGTCTTTTCACACACTCAAAGAAAGGAATTCTATGAAGCAGGAATTTATTTTAATAAATATTTTCTCTCAATGCATATAATATTTGTGAATAAAAATGATGAACTGATTAATTTGCTAAGTTGTTCTGAGTATTTTCTGAATAGTTCCTTAAATCTTATTTCTGTTTAATCGGTGCTTCTCAAAAAATTTAAATCACACTGCACGTAAGAGAGCCTGACATCCTTGTTTACGTTTTTTCTTAACATCACAAAAATTAATAAAATTACTACTTTAAAATTATTAAGAAGCTATCATGATAAAGGTATACCATTTATTTTCCTACAACCTATATATTGTTGTAATATCAAAACTTTTTAGCAGCGAATAAAATTAAATTTTTATTGCAGTATTTGGCGACCTTTTCTTGATCACAAATGTTTTATGGCAGAAACAATGCCAGTTTCATGCCTTTAAAAGACGTACCTTCCCGGATGTCCCAAATGCTTTGAAATTAGGGTACTATTGTTTGTATTATTCCAACGTATGCATTGCAAATTAAATGTCTGCAATAATTTATTCGGTACTACGTTTTCATGCCAAACCTACTATCTCGCCATATAACAACTATATGAGGCATATCGGTTAGGAAGTACTGATCTAAGTAATAGGAGCGAGGACTGATTGCCATTAAATTTAAGTCACTTTCTCTACAGAGAATAAATCAAAGTGATGGAGAGTAGCGCCCCCTGTCTCAAGTGCAGGCAGTACGAACTAGCACGTGGTGTTCAGATAGAGAGAAACCATGCCGCGAGAGGCTGGATTTGTTGGGAAGACTTGGAGCAAGCGAGTTTAAAAGTGAAGTCTTCTATTTTAAAAAAAGTTGTCAGTCGGTATCTGGATGGATATTGCACCGGGTACAATTTTATTGCTCCTTTCTTCTATCATTGGTGAGTTGACAGAATTCAGTATTGCTAGAATTATCGCATTTATTTTATTTTCTGTTGCCGGCTTTCGATTAAATTTTAAATCTTACTTTTTTAATTTAAGCAACAATTTAATTTTCAATTCAGAGCAAATAAATAAGGAAACAAAAGATTTAAGTGCTATATATATGACCTGTTTTACAAGTCATTTAAATCTAACTAAAAAATAAGTTAAACAATATAAAATGAAACTTTTCGGGAATCTGACTTGGATTTCACCAATAACTGACGTTGGAAAAGGAGGGGGTCTCATTTTCATTTTATTAGTTTAATTCTGTTATGTCATTGAACTGTATTCCTTATCAGTATAAAATAATTATGAGCAAAGAATAACAAAATAATTGTAAAATAAAATTATAGTATGTTCATTGAGAAAAAAATTAAAATTTCATTTTTATAAACAAAGTTATAATTTTTTATTCATGAGAAAAATAGATTATCGAGAATAATGTTGACATCCTCTAATATCTTTAATACTCTTCCGATCTCGCTTTAATACTCTTTTCGATGAGCTACTTTCAGAACAAAAGTTCCGATGCTTTTCAGTATTACATTTTGAGAAAACTAAATAACAATCAGTATTGCGTAAAATATTATTTTTCAAATTTCAATAAATTAATATATACAAAATTTATATTCGTTTTCTAAAGGTAATGCAAAAACTGAAATTTTTGGATTTTTTGTGATCTTTTCTGGATTCAACTGTATAATTAATAGAAAACTTCATTTATAATTTTGGGTATTTAAATAGAAACAGATATAAAAATCATGATTTTTATGTTACATCAATAATGAACTTGAACTTCTAGCAATTATTTTTTTATCAATACACAAATTTTATATTTTCTCGCTCTTATTGCGAAATCTCATCGCAAATGCAAGAAAAGAAAATACTATTTTTAAATGATTTTTTATAAATAGACATGAATACATATAGTGTCCATAATGACTTAAGTTAAATTTTTAGAGGAGTGTTAATCGTACATTTTTTTAATGAACATAGCAAACTAAAAGTTTTCTAGAGTCTGTGAAGTTTATCTTGGTCAAGGGTTATGATTGAAAATTAATTTAAAATGAAGAAAGCAAGAAATTAAGCGGTATGTAAATGAAACATTATCATAAATAAAACAATATCGTAAGAAAAACTGATAAAATATGAATAATATAAAAACATGATATACAAGTAGTTCACACAAATAACGATGTGAACATGAAATGGACATATAAAAGAAAAAAAATCTACAGTTAAAAAAATTAATCCTCAAAGTAGATGAAACATAATTTTCAGTTTTTTCTAGTTTAACAAATTAGTTAATTTTTTTAACAGTATTATATGTTTAATTACCCATTTTAAATAAAAGGGTAAAATTTTAATATAAATCATGAGATTTATTCCTAAATCTCTTTCAATATAGCGACGCATATAAAGTAAGAATTAGACTATACGTCAAGTACTATATTAAAAAGTAAATTTGATATAATATTTTCTTTATTTGAGTTGCTAATAACAGTATTTTAGTATATTCCTTTAGATACTGATGGCCGAAACTAACTGAAGTGCTTATTTATAATTTATAATTAGATAACTCTTGTAAATGAAATATTATATATGCAGACATACATATACTAAACCATAGATAAATTATATTTCTTAAAATGAAATTTATTTGCAAGTGAAATTTGTAAAAATGGATTTCATCTGTACAACTGACCCTAACAGATTGTTTTCTAATTGCTGTTAATAAAACTTAATTGAGACGAAGTATAATCTGGCAAGCGTCCCAGCGACAATTACGTAAAACGGTGTCCAGATGTAGCAAAAAATTATGAGAATTTTATTTAAACTACAAGAACGTTTTAAAATGAAGATATAAATCCCTGAACACAGTTAATGAATTTGGTGTCTCATATGTAGAATTTATAAGAGGGTGGAGTATATTTTAGATGGGGTTCTAATCTCTGTTCTCTCTTATGGGATGTTTATTGAAGTTCTGAAATAAATGTCACAGCCTTTCAAGCTTAAGACAATTTTCACGCTCATGAACAAGCTTAAGAATTTGTCATTTAATTAAATTCAATTCTTTAAATATTTATATTATACCGTTTTCTTCGTAAAAGCGCTGCCATGTTTAGCATACTTATTTAGAATTTTAACGAATTTTCCTCAATCTTTGCCCTGAGTTATATTTATGGTTTTATTTTCATAAATACTAATTATCTAGTCTTTCATTTTCTGATCGTAAAATGTGGCTAAGACTGTTTAACACTGGTAGTTCTTTCCGGATTTGATTTCTTGCAAAAGAGCTGGCTTCATGAGGCTTTTTTGGGTTCCTGATATAATATGTGAGTAGGAGCCAGTTTCTTTTGAAATGTCTTACACAAGGGCATACCTTCTAAGTTCGACAGTTCATCTTTGCATGGTCATAGTTAGTCAACCTAACATCTTAATGACACTAAGAAGTATCGATTTGGACTTTCCAGCTATAAAAGAAAGATTAAATGGTATAAAATTCCAGAATTCTATGCTAATGCTATATTTATTCTATAAAAGCAATAAATTGATTTTGTACTAAAGAGTTTTACAAGAAAAATCATCTTTAGGTGATAATTTTATATATACTTTTACTATTTTGTCTATACCTAAATTTGAGTACCTATTATTTACATAACACATTTTCAGCTTTTATGTGCTTGCTTCGATAAAATATATATGCAGCTGAATAGCGGATGCGTTTAGGAAATGACTGGGTAGTAAAAATATTTGAACTAGAGTAGTATCGCAAATGTCAATGCTTATTTGTCCGAAAAAATTTAGAATTTGTTTTGCTAAATTGAAATAATTTATTGAGTTTAGATTTGTGTTAACAAAATTAGTTAAAAGTTAGTAGAAAGACATATTTCGATATACTCTTTATTGAAGACTAAAGAAGACTTCAAGTTTTCAGATAAATAGATGTAGAAAACGAATCATAAATAAAAGAGCAAAAGCAATGTTTTATTTGAGTTGGGTTTAAGTGAAAACAAGATGCAATGTTTATTATCCCATAAAGAAAGTTTATAGAGAAACGTAAATCATGAATAATAAAGACCGTCAAGAAGCTTTATTAAAAATCGAAGGGAACTATATATTTAGTCCTTTAACCGAGCTTATCGTATGCAAGAATTTAACGGACGAACTACGGATATGTAAAATTTGATGACAGGCTTACATGATATTAATAATGCCACTTTTATACGCTATTTATTGTATTAAAAAGGATGCACGGGGTTTTTACTTCAGGCATCTTGCTCCTTCATTATGAAGAAGTTGCAGGTCATATCGGAAATTAGTTTCTATGGGAAAGAAGATAATGAGCTTGGCATTTTTGATGCATTTGTGAGGTGTTAGCTTTCTCACTATCATGGGATGCGTGTGTTTTTTCCTTACGGAATCACGCCGTATTTAATAGTAAGCAGCATTTTATATCTTGTAAAGTTACGTCGAGTCCAACATAATTGCATTTCATCAAAAATCTAGTTCAATCAAAACAGAACTGCATTTTATTTGAAAATTTTTTCTAAAATATTAAAAACAAGCTCTAAATAAAATGTTATTATAATTTCTAGAATATTTCCGCTGTATGGAAGTTAATGCATTGAAATCTACCAGCTAGTGTCTGAAAGTTACATTTTATGTTAGAAAGATTAAGGAAATATTAATGGAATATTTGCTGTTTAAGCCACGGTTTAATATTAAAAATAAACGGAATGTAAAGTACAGATTTCAAAACGGTAAAAATTGCTCATAAATTTCATATATTCAAGTTTAATGCAATATTCTATTAAAATCGAAAAGTTAAAAGGGGTACAATGAAAAGTTCTTACTCACATTTTAGGAAAGGAAAGCTTTCCTGTGTAATCTTTCATATGCCAAAAACTCGTAAAGCACAGAAGGAATCACCATTAATTTTACATATGAAAAACTTAGAAAGTCCTCCACGAAGGCATCCATCCCCCTCTTAGGCAGATAGCCTTCGCGTGCTTTGCCGTAATCAGATGAACCAAATGAAGTATATAAAAAAATTCCCAGGTATACATATCAAATCATACCAAGTAACGCATGAAACGCCAAATAATGTTAAAACAAGAATAATATGATAAGTACATAGAGTAAATAAACAGGAATAACATAGAGTAAGTAGTTTAAACTTCCATAGTTGAAGATATAATGCTTATACAAGATGACTTGACGTCTTAGCGCGGACGATGCTGCGATATGGTTAGTTGTCAGAGATGAGGCAAACAGGGATGTTTATTCACGCATTTGACTAGGGTGTTAAACAGAGGATCATTCGTTTGCATCTGTCAGATCATCATCCGCACTTTCTGTACGTCTGTCTGATTCCATATCGAAAGTTAAGTTAGTTTTCTGATCTGGCAGATGAGGAGAGGCTTGAAATAGGCTAGTATGCTCCAGCTGATCCATCCATCCTTTTATATCGTGTAGTTCTGTATATGCAGATTAAACTGCCTTGAAACAGTATGAGCTCCCACATTTATAGTCAGATGTACATTTCCCTCGCATAGTAAGAACGATGCAAAGTCGATGAATGATATTTCCACGTCTTAACCTTTTTGAATAAAGCAAAAGTTTTCTTTGGACATTTTTCTTAAAGCGAAGTAGCATGATGAGAATATTTATTTTTAAGGCGGGGGGGGGACCCGTTATATTGCATGATGGTTTCAGTTTTAAACTAAAATTCAAGTTGGAACACGAAACAATGAATCTTCATATGATTCATTCAGACAAAGAAAATAAATTACGCTGTAAGATTCTCACAAGTGTAATAATTCTTAGTTACTGTAGAAAGTGACGAATCTTAAGAACTAGTTAGCGAATAATCGCTTAAGTTCGTGTAACAAGAAACAACAAGAAGGAAGGGTAACTAACCCTTTATTATTCCAATAAGATTTAACAAAACTCC